ACTAAAATAAGCTATTATTCCATCTGCAACCTGTTGCAAATTCAGTGTAGCTACAAGTTAAACATAATGTTCACCATGGTAAAAAATTAAGCTTCCGATTTCATTACTGCGTATAAAGGTAGCTCCAAACAGGATAGGAGAAACCAATGTGCTGTGAATGTTTTGCGTGCCTACTTGTTTCTTTCCTCCTGTATTTAAAATGGTGTCTGTTCCTCAGCTAATTGAGTTCAAAGGGCTGACGTCATTACATTTCCTGGAATCGTGTTTCAGCAGGGAAGTGGAAAAGTTAAACTCCAAGCGAGCTGCACATTGACGTCAGCTCCGAGTCATGTTGTGATTTAGTCAGTTCCTTTCTGCTTTGTCAAATGCTGCTGACAGATTGAGTTAACTAGCTCACTACTGCCTCTATCTCCAAGATCACCCGTAGACTGAATAGTTTTTCTTATAAGCCTTACTTTAACATTTCTCTTGAGGTAAGTATGTGCTTGAAGAGGGAAACCATTTTATGCCACCTGTACTGCTTGCCTGAGCAGAAGTTGGGGGCTGTCAGGAAAAATTAAAGGGTAAGATTGTGCCTCCTGATGAGGCTGCTGTCCCTGCACATGCTTGGTGACAAGTGGCCTATATATAGCCTGGAGGAATTCTTTGGCTTTTGCTGGATCTATAGGAACTTGGGATTCAGAGTGCTCTCTGGTGCCCAGTCAGGGAAGTGCTTGTCTTTTCATTGTTCCCCACCCCCTAGCCTCTGGTATTTAAATTTGTAATCAGTAATTCTCTTTACTGTGGTTTGATTTTCTTAGTTACATATAAGTGATTTTGAAAGATTTAGTTACTAGTGACCTTTGTGTGCTTGCAACATTGTTTATTCACTGTTCTTATTTGTAACCCAGTTCTGAATTTGTAGTTGAATTAAGAATGAATGGTGATTACACAACTTTATCACAATTTAGCTCTTTAGAGTTAGCTGGGTCTCAGCCCCCTTCCTGGATTAGAACATTCCATTGTCTTGAGCAAGTAAAACCTGCATTGAATTGTTTTTAAGTTTGTCTTAGGACTTTTTTTTTTAAAGAAGTTTTGTGAAGTTATAGAAGTGCTGTAGATTATAGAAGGTCTTAAATGATAAATTTATTATAAGATAGATGAATTTAAAATGATCTCAAATACTGCATGTCATATGATTCTTAGAAACAAAGGCATATTTGTCTATATATTTACTTTCTAGACATTATTGGTTTATCTGTCTTTTTTTTTTTTTTGGTGGGCAGGTACTGGAAATTAAAACCAGGAGTCCTTTATCACTGAGCTATAGCCCCAGCCCTTTGTTGTTGTTGTTTTGAGACAAAGTCTCACTAAATTGCTGAGGCTGGCTTCCAACTGTTAATTCTCCTGGCTTAGTTTCCCCGGGTTGGTAGGATTATAAGCTTGTGCTACCATGCACTGCTGGTTTGTATCTTTCTTTTAACTAAACCTTTAATTCCTATTCCCCATTTGACTTGTCTAAGCTTGAGAATTATAGCAATACAATAAAATAAAATGATAACAAATACTGAATATATTGAAAGATGAATGTTAAGGCAATTATTTATGTAAAGAGCTTAACCATTGCTTATTAAACATAAATTAAACATTTTATACATTTATGTTTACAGAACGAACATACCATCCTTGAAATTTTTTTCCCACAGTTTAAACAGTAATGCTTAATCATAATTCCCTTTCCAATTTAAAATTTTCAAAATGTTGAAACAAAACTATCAAGTAGTATAGAGCATTCTTTCACAAATCCTGATTGTGCTTTTGGAAATAATTATTTTCCAAAATCTCCTCAGTTCTCATAGAATTAATGCTATTTGAAAACCTATTTGAAAATGAAAAATAAGTCATATTGCCTTTTTTTCCATAAGTGCGGAAAGAGCGCAGGATTTAAGGATATTTTCAGAGGTACAATAGAGCAGCTTTCAGAACCAGGCCTTTGAACTGTGGACTTGCAAACCAAGGGGATTGATCTAGTTCAATTGCTTGCAAACTCTTTGACCATGACCCATATTTTATATTATGACACAGTGGATGTGTGTATGTGTGTGTGTGTGTGTGTGTGTGTGTGTGTGTGTGTGTGTTTGTGTATACATTCTACATTTATATAAAATATATTTCAAACAGAATACTCACTTCCTTTTCTAATTTTTCATTTAATGCTCTTCTTAATTTGTTTTTTCTTTTTGTGGTGCTAGGAGTTGAACCAGGGCCTCATGCCTGCTAGGGAAGCTCTCTACCACTGARTTATATTCATAGCTCCCTTAAAACACAGTTCTTGACTCATGAAATTAATTTTATGACCCACTAATGATCTATAACTTACAGTTTGAAAAAAAATTGATCTAGATCAAAATCAGGCTCCTAACACAAATGACTGGTCTAGCAGCATTTACTTAGAGGATCATGGAAGTGTCTGTCTGTAGTTTATTATTGATTCTGTTGGGTATCATTTAAATTTTTATAAGAAAAAAATTTGTTTTATTAATAAATTAATGTTAGGAGCATAATTCCTTCCTTTAGATTCWGAGTTTTAATAAGTTGTATTCAAATTGAGTTTCTGAATTGTTAACAACAAAACTTCCATCAATTTTGGATAATGATATCTTAATTTTCACCTTTGTGAAAGGAGATTATTGACCATGATTTTTTAAGCGCTTTAGACATAAAAGAATGAATTTGTTCAGGTTTAACAGCTTCTTGAAGTTGGTAGCAAAGCAAGATATAATTATGTTGGACATGAAAATAACAAATCATTTATCTATCTTGAGTTTAAATAAAACTTGAAAGTTCTGTGGAGGATGAAATGGAAAATGGCTTTATGCTGTTTTCCTATTATTTAAAAAAAAGGGAGAAGTGCTGTTGGGGATGGAACCTAAGGCCTCATGCATACTAGGCAAGTGCTGTAACTAAGCCTCAACTCCAAATATCTAATTAAAATAAAAGAAAAATTAATGCAATGTAATTTGGGACATTTATTTCATTTTGCCCCACCCATTTTATTTGCCTATATGAATATATTGCCTAATTAAATAATTATGATGCTACTTTGCATTTGTGTAAATAGAAAAATAAAAATCACTTAACATTGCAAATAAGTATAAATATAAATTGAAGAAAGTGCTATCAAAGTAACTATCAGGTTGTATATATGGAAAGCAGGAAATATAGGTTAAGATTAGGGTGAGCCTCATTAAGGAAACCATATTTAAATAGTAAAATAGAAAAGCACTTTACATGGGTTACAATTGAAATACACAAAACAGATACTGTTATACTCTTGTGTATAAATGAACACAGATCCTGACAGGTAAATGACCTTTCCAGCTTCTACAGGTACCAAGTAGTGAGCCAGTTTTTGTCTTCAGACTCCCTTGGTTCTGCTCATAGTATATTACAATGCTCTCAAAATTCACCTGACAAGGCCCAGAATGTAGCTCAGTGGTAGAGCACTTCCAGCCATGTCCAAAGCCCTGGATTTGATCCCCAGCACTGGGAAAAAAAAAATTCACCTGACATGGATAAATTAATACCAGTGTAACATGAGTCCTTATAGCATACTACACATTGGTTATAAAATATGCAAAGTGAATTAGCGTTCTTTTAAGTAGTCAAAATGGAGTTTTTACTAGAATTTTTATTATTACTCTCATAGGAAAATAGAGCATTTATTTGCCATTTTATGGAACATTAACTTTCAAGTATTCATACCTTTCCATTTTTTTACCCAGACTTTCAAAGATTTTTCACTTATTAAACAACCTAAGAAGGCCCCTTATGTGTAACTTCGCTTGATTGTGGTAATCATTTCATGATGTGTGTGTGTGTGTGTGTGTGTGTGTATATATATATATATATATATATTTCAAAGCATCTCTTTGTACACCTTGAATATATATAATTTTACTTGTCAACTATACCTCAATAAAGCTGAAAAATTTAATGACAATTCCATGTGGTCTATGTGTTAATAGTAATTGTAATGAATTTGAAAATGTTTAGTACTTTAATAGGTATTTTTGGTAAATTTAATTTCCCCAAAGAAACCAGAGCAATGGAAAAAGGAAATATTTTGACAGTATGGGATGCAAGGCATAGATAGATAAGTCTGATTTGGGTAATAGGAGCACTGGTGTGGTGGTAGGAAGAGAGAGAACTGAAGAACAAAAGTGGAGTAGCTTACTGGAGAAAGGGAAAGCCCTCTCCCCTACACTTAATGACTTTTAAGTTACCTATGTTGCTTACTTAGGTGTATTTAAGATTACTGGCACATAGTGAAATGACATATGAAGGTAGGAACTTCCTCTATAAAGATGTTTTCCTTCAGTTAATATGCTTAGTACTTATGGATACTTCAGCAAATAAACGGTCAAATAAAATCACCGTCATATTGGGAGTTGGACAGTTGGACAGATTGTTTCACTTTGGTAACTATCAGAATAGGCATTTRGCTGGGTTTCTTATTTATTTCTTTGTTTCCTACTCTGACTTGTGGGTTTTTTTAGTTTTCTTCTTACCAATCTGACAAGAGTGTATCATTTGGTCATTTGTGATTCTCCACTTTTGAGGTTCTGTCTCAAGTGATTATATACACTAAAAGGGACATTTTATGTTATTTTTAATAGTTTGTTGTTTAAAGGGATATAACAATGTGTTATAAATGTAAAAAGTTCTTAGGCATATTTTTAAGCAAAATAAGGAGTAAGAACCATATATTTTGACTCCTCAGGTTTGTTAGAAGGGAAACTCCAGGGGAAATTTATTTAAGGATGTTATAAGCCTTTTAACTAAAATACAGTATAAGCATAATTTGGAACATTGTCTTTCAGAATTTAAGGAAGGGAAGAAGAAGGGAAATAACATTTGCTGAATGCCTACCATGTGCCAGGCACTGTGCTAGACACTTTGACATACATTACAGGGTTTATTGTGAGTATTAAATGAGATAATGTATCCCCATTTTACAGATGAGGAAACTGAACTTGCCCCAAGTCACATGGCTGGTAAGTGGCAGAGCTGGACTAGAACCCAGACTCCAAATCCCATGTTTTTTTCTGCTGTACCATGTTCAAAGCTTGCAAATAGAGGTATGAAGTTAATGATCAGAATTGAGAGTTCTAGAAATTTTCTTTTCCCATGAAATACTTGACACCAACCCCTCTAGAATTCTTTCATTTCAAGAGTTAGATGGTTGGAAATACATTATAGTTAAAACCCTCTTCTAAAAATGCCACATTAGATGTATTTAAGGGAAGATTTAGGAAATAATGTCTTTTATCAAGAAATGCCACTTTGAATAAATACATATCTTGTTGCTTTCTTTCCATATCATAATGATAAAGATTTAACTATCATAATTAAGTCTATAAGGAAGACTACTTACTTTAATCATCCCAAATACCTGTACAATACCCTAGGAAGTTCAAAATTATCTTTGTAGTATACACATAAACTAATGAAATAACCATTATATGCCAAGTACTAGGACACACCAAGGTAAAAAGATACTGCCCCTGACTTGTCTGAAAATTTTTACTTGCCTGAGAAAATTAGTGTATAAATAAATATCATATTATCTATCTTCAACTGTAATTTTTAAGCCCTACTGATGACCCCTGTATTTTTGGAAATAAAAATGAAATTCTAGAATAAAAAATATTTTGGACACTTTTTACTAGTTAGATGGGACAGTAATCAGCCTTTAGAAGAGAATAGGAATAAGAATTGGTCATCATGGAATATGATGGCTCTTTGAACTGTGATCCTTGGTTTCTAATCTGCTTTAAATGACCACTGAATTCATAACATCAGAAACTGAAGCCTACTAAGGTTAACACTGTTTCATAACTTATTTCAGAAAAAACAAGAAAGTCTCTTTGCCCATATCTTTTTAACATACTTTACTAATTAGATTACATTTGAATATATGGACTTTATCCTTTGACCTCTGGAAGTATACCATCCTATAGATTCTTTAGGCTATTATAGAAATTTATTCTAATTCCTACTAATTTATACTAATTCATATTTCTGGCTTGAACTAATAAACTATAATCTCTATTTTAACAAGAATAAAATTAACATGTAACATATCTGGAACATTATAATAAAACCCTGTTTACCTAACATCCCCGAACTAATATATATGGAAATATCATCCCTTTCTGTTATTTTAAAGTGATCTTTTTTTTTTTTTTTTTCTGAGCTATTACTTCAAAATGTTTTAGGAATACTCCACTTGGAATTGCCACTATCCTTCATGCTGCCCAGTTTGGTTCTTCAAAGGTGGCTGTGGCTGTTCAAAACAGGCAAAAGTTGTTTGGAAACATTCCTGATGTCCATTTTCATCTGTGAAGTATTTCTATCCACCATCCCTTTTCCCAGTTTTTTAAAAAAGTTTGTTTTAGTAGATACTCTTAGCTTTTGTATTTCATGTAAACATTCTGTTCTAATTTCATATTACAGAAGGTAGCAAATGTATGCAAAACTAAAGAGTATAAGAAACCCTTAAGTACCCTTATATTAGTTTTTTTTTTGTTTGTTTGGTTGGTTTTTTGTTTTGTTTTGTTTTGTTTTTTTCACTTCTTTGTGAGCACTGTTTGAAATAGCAAGCTTAGAACTAGGCCTGCATTGAGGCTGTCTGCGGATGTCAACACAGTAACATGTAAACTTCTGATTCCTCACTGGCTATTGTTCCAATTTTAGAAAGCCTGTAGCCTCCAGCTGTTGCATTGTTTAAGCTTTTATTATCCTATAACCTTCTTCCTTGGATGTGGGTAAAGAGAAAAGAGGGGAGGACTATATTATTTTATGTTCCACTCCATCTCCTCTGACATGATCAAGCTGTTTAAATAATAAGTGCATTATAATTTCATATATGTATACAATATATAAACTTTATTATATGAATAAATATATATATATATATTTATATATATCAGGATTCACTGTGGTATATTTTTACAATGGACGTAGCATAATTTGGTAGATTTCATTCCCCAGTACTTGCCTATGCCCTCTCCTCTTCCCTTAATTTCCTTCCTCTATTGGAATCTCTTCTATTTTCCTGAATCCCTTTTAAAATTCTTTTTCTTTTTTTCCTYTCTAGCTTCCACATGAGAGGAAAGATTGACATTTGACTTTCTGGGCCTGACTTAATTCACTCAGCATGATGTTCTCCAGTTCCATCCATTTAAAAATAATAATAGGGACTCTGTAATGTTTTGAACGATCAATAAAAAAAAAATAATAATAATAGGGAGATTAGTAGGAGGATTAGTAGGAGGAAGGAGGAGAGGGAAAGGAAAGTTACTGGGGAATGAGATTGAGCAAATTATGTTATGTACATGTTTAAATATRGCATGAAGAATTCCATTATTACATATAATTATAATGCACCAGAAAAAACTAAAAATAAAAGAGATTAAAAAAAAATCTTTAGTAAGTTAGTTTACCAGGGGTTTTCTTCTTAAAAATTTCAAAGCTATAAAAATTTCAGCAACATATAATGAGGCATCTGTATATAATGTTTTGAATAGCCATCAAAACAAATATGGGACTTTTCCTAAGTTTAGTAATAGAAATTTGGCTGATGATTATTTATCACAGTTACTATTTATCGCCATTATTTTTAAATTATAAAAAGGAGAGGCAGTAAGTACTACCTTATAAATAGTATTTTTATTAATTCTGTGAAGACCTTTAGATAATCTTCCCTCAAAGCCACATTTTTCATTTGTTTTATTCTATTTCTTAATCTTCAAGCCCTAAGGGGAAAAGCTGTTATTCACCCAATAAAAGAAAGTAGTATTTAATTTTTAATTTTTAAAAACTGCTTGTCTATTTTCAAAGATAGTATTCCATTTAGGTGAAAAACTCTCTCCTGTATTGAAAAAAATTTCAGTTCTTACTCAATGGTTATAATACTTTTTTAAAACCATGAAAATACTATATTTCCTTTTGAATGGCATTTGGTTCAGATCAATTTTTACAAGATTTAATAACTTTTTAAAACTTTTTTTTGCATTTAGCTTTGAGAGAGTATGTATTTTGTAATATCAAATTGACTCTGGACCATATGTTTTCAAAGTTGAAGCATTGGTGATAGACATGTATTTCATCACTCAAATCCATCTGTGTTTTCTAGGAAGCTGTGTTTAATGCAGTTGATAGACTATTGAATATAAATAAGGAAACTTTGAGAATTTTCTTTCAGTATTCAATCTGAATTCTAAGTAAATATTATTTACTAAGAAAATAATTTTTATATGAATACTTAGGAATGTATTACTTAAAAAAGAAAAATAAAGAAAAAAAATCCCCTGAGTAGCCACTTTTAAGAAAAACTTTGTTGGTTTTCATTTGTTTTGCTTTGTTTTTGATTGTTGTTTTTAACTAAAACCTCAGTGAGCTAGATTCCTTCCCTTTTCTCAGTCATTTTCTGGTAATAGAATTTGTACCTATAGACCTTTAGTGACTGTTTCAGGCATGATATAGAAGGTACAGAGAAATCTTTCCATTGGCATGTTCAAAGGATGGAGATATTCTGCTTAACTAAAATTTTTGTAGTGCTGTGCTAGAGCTAGCACCTTCTGGCTTGCTATAGCCAATATTATGCTTTCAGCATCTTTGTGAATTGATTGTTAAAGCAACCTTTGTTGAAAGTTACATATGCACACACACTCTTATACAAATGAATTACACTAAAAAGCAACATCAGTACTCAAAACTCATCATTTCTCATAAATTTTGTCTTTGCTGTTCAGATTATTTACATATTTTTATCTGTATGGTGTGCTACTTATTTGTGTTTCTTCCCAACTCTACATTCAGTGAAGTCATATTGCTATCTTGACATTGGCCATTGTGAAAGTATTTCCATCATGGGAATCATCAAACACTACAGATTAGGACTTTCTCTCCCCAATCCCTAGAGAACTGTTTCTTAAATATTTTATCAACACACTACTGACTTTAGGCTAAATGAAATGTAGTTAAAAAGCTTTGATAAAAATTTGTCTAAAATTCATTAGGACATTGTTCTACCTTAAATGTAGTCAGAGTTGAAATATTCATATCTTAGTTCTATAAATGCTGAAGGAGATCTTTGATATTTAAGATCCCTGTAATTCTCAGAGTAATTATCTTTAACATTAAAAGATCATCTCTAGTGACATATAAAAAGTATGTTTTTCAAATTAATTTTATATAAAATATCAACTTGTGAATTGTTTATATAAGCTTGCTGTATTTTATTTCATTGCAGCTGCTACAGGTGACATGCCCACTTATCAGATCCGAGCTCCTACTACAGCTTTGCCACAGGGTGTAGTGATGGCTGCCTCACCAGGAAGTTTGCACAGTCCCCAGCAACTAGCAGAAGAAGCAACACGTAAACGAGAGCTGAGGCTAATGAAAAACAGGTAAGCTGTTTCACCAGAAATCAGGACCCTCTTATAGGACACCTAATTTTTTACTGTGGGACTTTAAAAAAATTACACTTGTCCTAAGCTCTTTCTCCCCAGTTAAGTGTTATGTGCATTGTGTGTGGGTTTGTGCTCTGCATGATATAATGATAACTAGAATGTCTTCTAGTTAAGAGTACCTAGCCATTAAACTATCTCATTAGAAGATACATCCCATTGTGTTATAATGATGATGTTCAAAAGGTACATTACTTTAAAAAAAAAAGATAGACTTCATTATAAATAAAAATTTATTTTGTATATGGCTTTTACTTTGTGAGGCAGTATTATAAGTATAATTTTTTAATTCTTTATTAGCAAAATAAATTTAAGTATTAGAAAGCATGTTTGAAATTTTTATCCTTTCAGCTATTTCTAACTTTGGTTTTCATTATTACAACAAAATATGTGTTATTTTGACAAATTCTACTCAAGTACACATACAAAATATCTAAAATAATTAGAATAATCCATGGCTTCGTCACTTAGAGATACCTGCTAACATTATAGTATGTATGTTTCCAGTCTGTTCTTTCATTTTCTCTCACATATTCTTGCTTGTTGTCTCTGTAATTATATTTTTAAAAAATCAGTATAAAATCAAATGCTGTTTTCCCCCAAAAAAGTTTTAATTTAAACAAAAATTTATTTTAACTTGAATATTATTTTTTGTTTTATTTTAGTTCTTATTTTGAAGAGTAGCGCAAATTAATTTGATTTCCAAAATGAACAGAATTGTTCTAGAGTTTTCTTGTAAATTTTCTTGTCACCTCTTCCTAAGTGTTAAATAATGTCCTTATTATAAGAAAACAAAGCATCAGATGGGATCATCTGCTTGCAACCGATCAGGATTGCAAAGGTGGTCTTAATCATCCTGAATAACCTACAAATTGTGGCCTCTGGATCCCTAAAATTCAGTTTTGAGTTTATCACTATCCTTTGTAACAGTGTGAACCAGAAGTAGCTATATTTACTTTATTTGTGGTCTTTTAAATGATATGATTTGATATATTATGGGAATCATCAAATTGGCTACTTCTTCCCAAACTTATTAGCTTCACAAATCATTAGATGGAGTTTTGTACACTGGAAAACTCAACAGAAGGATACCAGGGATAAGGTCAGTAAGGTATATGCATCTTTGTCAGTGGTTGTTCCAGGTTTACTAAGTCATGCTAGGTTCCTGCTTTTCACTGTCAGCTCTTTGCTGAGAAATCCAGGGGCTGAATGGCTGGGGCTAACACAGCATCACAGTTGTTTTATGGCAGTCCTATTATCATAGATGCTTAAGCTTGGCAGGATGGTGCATTCCTGTAGTCTTAGCATCTCAGGAATCTGAGCACATAGAGTTCAAGACCAGCCTAGGCAACATACCAAGACCCCATCTCAAATAAAACAAAAAACTCAACTTTGGGCTGGGAATATAGCTTGGTTGGTAGAATGCTTGCCTCGAGTGCATGTGGCCCTGGGTTCAATCCCCAGCTCCACAAAACAAAACAAAACAAAAAACAACTCAACTTTGATCTGATGGAGAAATATGGATATTTTTATGAATTTTCTGAGATTTCAGGAGCTATGAATATAATTGTTTCTGTGGTCATAGAATATACATTATGAAGTTCAGTTTAGAAATGTAAAGTACACTATTAATGCAAATTGTAAAATTGTTCATTGATCTTATTTACCCAAAGAAAATAAAACACAGAAATAGTCTTATTTCCCTTTTGTAATTATTTTCTATCCTTATTTTTTATTTCAGAAATTTCTCAATAGAAATACCAATGAGAAAAATAAAATACTAGGCAGTGGTTTCCTATAAATGTGCCACACAACTACCTACATATACATGAAACTGAGGGGAGAAACTGAGGGAACTGAGGGGAGAAAATTACAAAATTTGTATTAAAAAATCTAATAAATAATAACTGATTGATTTGTGTTTCGACTGCAAATAACCAAGGGAAATGGAGTCTTAAACTTGTAGGTGGTTTTTTGATCCTATATAGCAGATCAAGAGGTATGTGCAGCCAGAACTAAGGCTCAGGAATGTCCTCCCTGCCCTGTCATCCTCAGCATATATAACTTGCTTTTAGGATCACAGTATGACTGCTGCACTTTGAGGCATTGCATTAGATGGAAAGAAGGGAGAAGGGCTAGAACCAATAATTGGGGCTAGCTGAATCTGCCCCTTCTGAAAACCTCCCAGAAATTTTCACCTACATTTCATTGATTAGAAATAGGTTTCTAGTCTCTAACTGTAAGGGATTCTGAAGAGTGTTTATTTTAGCTTTCTAAATCTCAATTTCAGAGCAACACAAARAAAAGCAGCTGACTAAGGGCTATTAGGTTGCTCAGTATCTGTTTAGTTGATTTCAAGTGCTTTATTCCTACTGTTTCTTTAACTTTCACATAATTTCTTTAAGATAAAGGGTCTGGTTATTATTTCCACTTTACTGAAGAGGAACTGAGGTTTGGAAAGTTTAAGTAATAAATTGGCAAAGGTCACATAGCCTAAGAACCAGGATATGCAATCAGTCTTTATTCCAGAGTTGTCTACTACCCTAACACTAGGGTCACCTCAAAAGGCCCTCAATGTACGCTTCATATTTGACTTCATGGAAAGTGGATAGTTTTCATAATTAACATGAAAGATCCCTTATACATTCTCTCTTTTTTATTCCTTGATGGCATCTATAGAAGATATTTAATTATATTTCTAGCAATACAGCATCAGTTTTAATTCTTTATAGCCTTATCAGCCTTTCCACTTTGCTGTGTCATTTCATCTCCATGCTGAGGATAGATCCAGTTAAATACAAGGCCTGTGAACTATTAATAGAAGAAACAGGTGTTTTCCATAGCTAAAAGTATTCAGGAATGTACCATCCACTGGTGTGATCATTTAAAGCTTTAGCTTGGAACAGTTTTACTCTAGTAACACATACACACACAGACACAAATGTAAAATATGAAATATGGATATTTATAATCAGCAGCTTGGTAAATAAAATTTTAAAAATTAAATACCTCACTATATTGTTCTTTAATTTTCATTTAATGGTAAATTGCTCTATAGAATGTTATCTTCCTTCTAGACCCAAATTTAATGATCTAATATTGAAAACCTTGGTATTCACAAATGAATTTTAGTGACTTTGTGGAAGAGAGTTGAATTATATTACCAAACTGGCAATTTGAAAGTGTGTTTGGATTTATTCTTAACTTTCCCTGTGCATCATGTATATTAAATCAATCACTATTTTATCAGGTTCAATTCACTTTTACATTTTTTATTTTCTCATTAACCAGTTGAGAAGTCCAGAACTTTGTGAGTTCACAGGGTGAGTGCATTGTTCTTGGCTAGGAAGTAAGGGTTGTTTGTTCTTTTCCTGCAGTTTATTGGGTTTTCAAGGTTTCTTTTCTGCTAACTCTTGCCCTCCCATAGAGAAAACACATATCCAGTTTATGAGAGTCAGCTATCCTAAAAATAGAACAATTGATCAAAGGCGTTGTATGCGTCATTTAGTTCAGGATTACAGCAATGCTAATTGGTATTACAGTAACTAGTATTTAGACATACAACATTACTTTTATTAAAGTATAGGATAATGATAATATATGGCAGTTTTTCTGGAATTGAATACTCTAAAATAAAGCTGTTATCAGAGAGCTTCTGTGAAGATTTAAGTGAAATAGTTGCTGTCCCCTCCCACCCTGGGGGAAAAAAAAAGTGAGAGAAAGCAAATTGTTTTTTAGTGGAATTATGCATGAAAATGACTAACTCATCTATTTATTGGTGGTTGTTGCTTTGGCTGCTGTTTTGTTCTTTCCTTTGGGCATGCTTATAGTGCTTTAAAATTCAGTGTATTGCATATTAAATGCATGTGAGTAGAGAACAGTCTCAAAATGCACTTTTGAATTATTCAGTAGCTTCCTTTTCCATAATTTCAACTGTGGTGTTTTCACATTTTTGCATTTAAATTGCCTGAATTATTGAGTGTTGCATTATGTAACTCTGTTTTTCCTTTTTTAATTTTCAGAAAGTGTCCTTTTTATTTTGGTTTATAAAAATGCACATGTCTTATTTATTGTTGTAATTTATCCATGTTGTGTTTTCTAGCCCCCCCAAAAAATTTTTTTTCAGTCATGAATGATCTTGTTTTATTGAAATTTAGTTTTGACAAACAAAGATCTTCAATATTGACATTTAAKGTTTCTGAGGAACAATTCTTCTAATCATTTTGACCAAATAAAATGTACTTATTGTGATGGAATATGTGTAGCTTTGGGCAGACAAAAAATAATTAAGAGGATCCAAAGGATCTATAAATGTTTTTGTTGAAATTCCACTTGGGAATGTGGTCCTATTGTGTAGTTTACTGAACACAGTTCTGGTCATTGTTATCATGGAAAGTGTGTCCTAAGAAAACACCAATTGGGCAAATTGATCGTGCTCTGAAGTTGTTCCTGTTGTCTTACAAAAAGGCATGTGCTTGGTTCCATTTGTTGTGTGGCTTTGTACAAACTTTTCCTAGGTTTGATTGGCTATTGATTTTGGGGGGCACAAGTCATTGAGCCACTCTGGATTGTACTGGGAGGTTGTTCCTGTAGTCATTTGCCTTGTGTTGGTTCCAGGGAAGCTGCCCGGGAGTGTCGCAGGAAGAAGAAAGAATATGTCAAATGTCTTGAAAATCGTGTGGCTGTGCTTGAAAACCAAAACAAGACCCTCATTGAGGAACTCAAGGCCCTCAAAGATCTTTATTGCCATAAAGCAGAGTAACTGTCTTTGACTTGGACCTTGTTTACTCTAAACTCTAATCAAGGCAGGCGTTGCACCAGTTCTACTAATTGCCATGTGGACTTGTGGAAGGGACATATGTGACCCTTAACTAAGAATCCAGTTTGGCTTAGTGTTGTTTGAAATTGAATTGGGAATATTGTTCCAGGATTTGGAATGCAACTCTGTTCACATTTACCAAGCTTACTTCAATCTGTTTGTCAATAGCATGCAAAAAATGTTTTGTTTGCCCTTTGCTTCTACTTTTTCCAGGGAAGCTGCAAAAGAATGTCGACGTCGAAAGAAAGAATATGTAAAGTGTCTGGAGAGTCGAGTTGCAGTGCTGGAAGTGCAGAATAAGAAGCTTATAGAGGAACTTGAAACCTTGAAAGACATTTGCTCTCCCAAAGCAGATTAGTAGAAATATTTAACTATGAACTGATTACAACATGTACAGTTGCTTTTGAAGGCAATACAATATATAGCCGGCAAGAATTATGGCTTTTTTCCTTTGTATCATTCATCTTACTTTCTAATCTCTAACATTCCTAAAATGCTTCCCTGTACGTAGTTAACTCTTAGGTATAACTTCAATTTTTTTTAAAAAGAGACAAACTGTAAAAAATGTATGTAACAAATTCTTAAAATGAAATATTTGTAAGACTTGTTCCAATGCTACATATTTGCAGTTCCCAATCTCTGTGTCATGAATAGTGTCCTATGTAATAAAACTTTTTGCAGGTCTTTAAAATCATTTTAGGAAAGGATGATCAAATGCATCCAGCAGTAAAATAAAGTTAAACCACAAAAATACCTCAGGAAAGAATTGAAAGAAAGTATATCTAATGACATGCCTATATGAGAAGAATAGCCTAGAAATGAATTTTTGGAAGATTTTTGTATTAGTCACTTTGTAAAGAAAATATTATACAGCTGTCCTTGAATGCTATAGTTGAAGACAGTTTTAATAGAACCATGTTGGTTGCACTTTGTAGTATTTGGTGCTTATTTAAATTTCTGAACATATATTACAGTTTTTTACTCTATTGTGTAATATAAATTATCTTTTAGAAGTTCTTAGTGTTGGTTTGATATTATCCAATGAAAGTGACAAGATATTTTTAATATCTAAAAGGAATTAAAAGCCTATTAGAATTGGATTGCATACATTCAAGGGTATGAGCTGATTCCTACACTGGATCATGATCCTTGCAAATGCTCCTTTTGCCATCTCATCTAAGGAGGACCCCAGGGCTGGGGATGTGGCTCAGTGGTAGATGCTTGCCTAGCATGTGTAGGGCTCTGAGATGCAATCCTAGTCCTGCTAAATAAATGATAAAAAGGATGGTCCCAGAGATTTGTACAGAAGAACAGAGCAGAACGACCAGAGGCCAGCCTTTGTGATGGACTGACCCTTCCTGTTAGATGGTCTGGAGATCTGCTGATGGCCATCATCTGCAGGCATTTTGAAATAAAACCAAAAATAATCYGAGATTTTATTTTTCATTTCAAAACAGATTAAAGTCCATATCATATCAGATATTCTTCTGTCATTATATTCAGGTGAAGTTCCTTATAATTGAGACAGCAGTGTTGCTACTGGTACCCACAGTTCATCTTACTTTTATAGTAAAAAGCTTCAAGGCCTAGGCCCAACACCCTAACCGTACAACATTCACCAGTAGTACTGAATGTGGACTATATACTACACTCTACTGTATTTTCTACTGTAACTTCAGATTTGTTGAGGACCCTCCACCTTTAGTAGCAGAACTGACAATGGATATAGGGAGGTACAAAAATAGGAGGTCGTTCCTAAAGTTCCAACTGCTGCTGCCCCCTTATCATCATCATCATTCTTTGTCTTATCTGTAACTTCCAGAAGGTAGGGAATGCTATTCTTGGCTTTCTTTTAAAATACTTATTGCAGAGCCTGAGCTTGAATTTCTTTTGGTCTTTTCTTCTATAGCGAAGTAAGATGAGGAAAGAAGATTTAGAAATAAAAAGAAAAGGAAAACCCCAAACTTTAGGTGAAAGGAAATGGTTATTTGCACTTAACTCAGTCAGTCACTATAAATCAGTTGTGTGCTTGGAGTGGTAGACATGGAGAGGAAAGCACAGGACTCAGCAGACAAGATGTATAGAGTTAGAGGCAGTAAATGCTGTGTTAAAATTAGGGGAAGATGTAGGCAGGGATTAAATAAGAAACTTCATGTAGGAGGTCCATTTGGAACCAGGCCCTGAGATGATTGATGGTGCTGGGGAAGAAGGTATTCCAGAGTGGGAATACAGAACACGTGATGTTTGGATTTGGGGTGGGGTGGAGGGGATGAAGGGGAAACAAAGTAAAGTTAGTACTCACACAAGAGTTAATTTCATTAGAAAGAGAGAGCACACCTGTAATGTCAGTGATTAGGAGACGGAGGCAGGAAGATTACAAGTTCAAGGCCAGTCTGGGCAGATGAGTAAGACCTTTTCTCAATAAAAAATTTAAAAAAAAAAAGGGCTGGGGATGTAACTCAATGGTAGAACACCCCAATTCAATCCTAACTACTACAAAATAAAAAGAGAGCAAGAAATGTATGTGCATGTGTGCACTCTGTTACTTCAGTAGAAGAGGAATATGCTCAATTACTTGAGGTCACGAGTAACAAAAGTCCCCCTTCCCAAAGATGCAGAAATTATAACAATTGGCTTTAATAATTGAGAAGGTGCTTAGCTCTAGCATGCCACCACAAAAAAAATTTAAGCAGAACATCTCCATCCTCTCAACTTTCCAATGGAAAGTAATTTATATCATGCCTGAAACAGTAATTAAAAGTCTATAAGTGCAAGTCCTATACTACCAAATAAGGATTGAGGCAAGAGGAATTTTATGACCTTACAAAAYGAGAAATCCACAGGTAGGAGTTACCAAGGTTGCTTAGTTCTGTGACATGTCAAGACCAGATTCATCTTTCTGTGTTCACAGATTCCCTCAGTTCTCAAATTGCCACCACAGTTTTAGGCAGTAAAAGATGGAAAACATAGTCACCCCTCCCTTATTTATTTGTTTGCTTCTGGACACCTCTCCAYAAGTTCCTCAGCAGCATACTCCCTCTGAATCTCCTAGGCCAGACTTTCATGGTATCTTTGTTTCTTAACCAATCACTGGCTAGAAGAATAGAATTAAAAGCACTGGGTTGTTAATGAAGATTCAATTCCTAGAGCTGAGGAAAGTTCCAGGCTTTGGGAAAGCATATGGCCATCAATGTTAAATAAAATTGGGGTTCTGGAAGAACTGTGTGTGGGCAACTGGCAATATCTGCTGTGGGGATGAGTGAGTGCTTAAACCATTCTCAGGAAGTCAGGAACAGCTTGTGAGAGGGCTTGAGGCTCAAGCCRAGCTCTGAAAGATGCAGAGGAAATTTTTATTCTTTCTCCTCCAATTTGTTCCTGTAACCGGGCTTTTGCTACCAAAATAGTTCTATTCGATAGCTCTCCATTCAGCTTTATAACAGATATCGCCTACAGTCTGTCAGGGAAGCAAGTGAACAGTAAGTTGGAATCTACACGAATATTTACATCCTGTACGTCACTGTTGCTTAGAATCCAGAGCTGTCACTGCATTTGTTGTCTTTTCTTAATCCTGAAAGTTTCAGAATCTGGACTGTGGGATACAGAAATTACTGATCCTGGGTCATGGGATTACATCACTTGTTTGTCATGTTTAACTAGGTACTTCATGATGCTAAATCTTACATGATGGGAGAATAAAGGAAATGCATGTATATTAGTATATAAATGTGTGTGACCACTATCCTTGCCCCAAATTGAGAACGTTTAGCATAAGTGGCATACTTTGAGTTGATGGCAACTGTTTTAATGTCTAATGTCTCATTCCTTGCTCAGCCATGCTTCTAAATTTTCTTTACATACTCTTCTGACATTCAGTGCATGCTGTCTCCTCTAGGCCTAAAAGTAAACCTCGGGGGGAAAAAAAAAAAAAAAAAGGCTGGTTTCACAATGACTTGAGAAACCAACACACTTTTTCAAATGTACACCAAAAATAATTAAGGAGTTTTGACATGTGTGAAGCAAACAGAGCTGTCACCAGGTAGCTAACCATGAAGATATAACTTTCATTCTGTTTTATGGTCATGAGTTTCATTCTGTTTTACTGTCCTGTATCCTGGTTTTCAGAAACTTCAATATGCTTTGCCCTTTCTAAGGTCAATTTGAAAGATATAAACATGGTTCTGAATGACTCAAGCACAGACATTTTAATCTTTATACTTCATGGGTAGCTTTTTTCTATATATAAGCCATTTTCTCATAAAGTGCATTTCATATTTGTACATTTCAGGATTTTAAATGCATTCTTCACACAAAACTTTTCTTTTGCGGTCCTGGGACTTGAACRCAGGGCCTTTCACATGGTCAGCAAATGCTCTACCACTGAGCTACCTTCCCAACCCCACAAAGCATTTTTAATACTCTACTGTTAATTCTTCAGAGATCCATTTTGCCATGGGGTACTATGTGGTAGCTTATAATGATATTTAAGATATTTCTATTCAGGGCCAGACTTGCATAATTCTGTCAGGGTTGGACAATGATGAATGAGGGAGAAAACATTGTACTAGTGCATTTTTGTACTAGATTGTACTTGCTCAAATAAAATGAACCCTGGTTACTTCTGAACCAGTCTTTCAACAGGAGACAAGAGTTTTTTCAGATTTTTTTTCTTTATTAAAAATACTTTAAGAAACAGCAATGAAAGGTTGAGCCCCATGGGTTATTTGGATGGTGCATATGCACACACACCCTCATACATGTGCGTTCATTTTCCCTCTGTTCYGGGTTATAACATAGTAGCAAGATTTGGGATTAGTATGCAACCCTCCTCCAAATGTACTATAGGAGTCCTTTAGTTCCTTTGTGAAGAAACCTGCCTAATCCTGAGTAATCCTAGGCCCCAAAGACTTTCCCTCTTTCCTTTTCTGTCCTCTCCTAACTTCCACTCATACCCTACAGTTGTGGACACCCAATTGTGAGAGTTCTCTGGTAAAACAACAGCAAAAGGCACACACAGAGATGCTCTGCAGTGTGTATGAAGTTTGCCTGACAACTCCCCAACCCTCAAAAAGGAAGGCATAATTTCTTAAAATATAGTTATTTAAAAAAATTAGGGACTAGGGTTGTGGCTCAGTGGTAGAGAACTCGCTTAGCATGTGTGAGGCACTGGGTTCAGTCCTTAGCACCACATAAAAAGTAAATGAATAAAATTAAAATATTGTGTCCATCTACAACTAAAAATATTTTTTAATTAGTTAATAATCTAATTAATTTATAGTTGCAGTACTGGAGATTGATCCTAGGGTCTTGCCCATGCTCGGCAAGGGCTCTGCTTCTGATCTACACCCCTATTCCTTTTTACTTTTAAATTTTGAGACAGGGTCTCACTATGTTGCCCAGACCAGCTTCCAAATTCCAATCCTGCCTCAACCTCCCAGGTAGCTGATATTACAGGAATATGCCACTATGCACAACCAAAAATATTTTATTTTTTAATATATGTAGAACACCTCGAGKTTCAAAATTTAGGAGATATGACAGCTATGTAGTGAAAAGCAAATCTCCTATCCCTGATTCCACATCTCCCACCTGGGAGGGGGACGCTAACCATTTGTTATGGGTTTTGTTATGATTTAGATATGAGGTGTCTCCCAAAAGCTCATGTGTATAACAATGCAAGAAAGTTCAGAGGTGCATGAGTGACAGCTTTAACCTAATCAGTGCATTAATCTGCTGRTAGTGATTAAYTGGAGGCATAATTAGGGTATGGCTGGAGAAGGTGGGTTGCTGGGGATGGGCCTTTGAGGTATATATTTTGTCCCTGATGATCCTAGTTTAGTTTCTCTCTGCTTCCTGATTGTCATGTCCTGAGCTGCTGTTCTCCTCTACACCCTTCCACCATGATCTGCTTCACATCTAACCCAGAGCAATGGAATTGGTTGCTGTGGACTGAGACCTCTGAAACCGTGAGTACCATATACATTTTTTCCTCCTCTAATTGTTCTTGTTGGGTCTTTGGTCATAGCAACAAAAAACCTGACTGAAATAGTTTTCTTTTCTGTGAACTAGATAAACTAAATCATTGATCATGCCATCTTTTGCCTTAAGTTGCTGCATCTTCAGAGCTTTGTGTGGAACTTCTAGAAAGGAATGTGGGAGTTAGTATGTTCATTCATTTCCTCAAGTCAGCAAGTGAGACTGCATTAGTAAGATCAAGTCCAGGAGGAAGAGGCAGCTTCTTGGAATGTGGGACTCTGGTAACATTTTGACTTTACAGGTACTTCCATGGGCTTTCTTCAGCTGTATACTAGGTTAGATGAATGCTATCATCTTGTAGTCTGGTAATAAAAAAAAAAAAATCACAACTACCATTTAATGAGTGCTTACTTACCCTGTACCACATAACACCTTGCATGCTATATGGGGCTTAGCACATTTAATTCTCATAACAACCCCCTAAGTGTTGGTGCGTTTATTATTTATTGTCTGTGCTTTATAGAGAAGGCAATAGGCTTGAAAAGGTTAAGTAATTTTCCCAATACTGCTGATAGAGAACAGGACCAAGAGCAGAACTTGACTGGTAGCTTCTGTCCTGGTGGCTCTCCCCCAGCCTGGATTCAGATGTAGGCAAATGATGGGAGAGGTACCTGCTGACCATGCCTCAAGGACATGGTGGCTGCTGAGAATGAGTTCTGTGGTTCCAAGTGGTTAGACTTAGAAATGCCAAACCTTTCCTATTCAGATGTACAAAAGCATGTGTCAGTTTCTCTTGGTTTTAAAAAGTCCTGATGCTGAGCACACAAAAATGTCTATACAGCTGAAGGACTTGCTATTGAAATACCAAAGCTACTCACTGAAATAGAATCTTAAAACTAAAAGGAGTTGTATAGATAAAATTTACTCCTTTAATTTTATAAACAAGGAAACCAAATGCATCAGTCAACTTTTTGTTGCTGTGACAAAAGTACTAGAGAAAAATAATTTATTAAGAAGGAGAGAAAGAAAGAAAAAAAAGGAAAGATTTATTTTGGCTTACAGTTTCAGTTCATGACTGGCTGGCTCCAGTTATTTGCACCTGAAGTGAGGCAGAACATCATAGGTGGAAGGGCATGTAGAGGAAAGCTGCTCAGCTTATGACAGCCAGGAAGAAGAGGGAGAGAGAGARGAAGGGATGTGGGGACAAGATATGGTCCCCAACGGCCTGTCTCCAAGGACTCACTTCCTTCAAATAGGCCCCACCTCCTGTAGTTTCCTCTACCTCCCAAGAGTGCATTTAAATTATTAATCAATCCAATGATGCCTTGGAGCTCTCTTGTTCTAATTACCTTTTGGAAGGCTCTACCTTTGAATACTGCTGCATTGGTGATCAAGCTTTGAGCATTAAGAATAATACAATATTAAAATTTTCAGATT